GCTTGGCAGCCAGCTGTTTACCGTCACAGATCCCTCGTGCTCTCTGAAACTAAGATTTACCCACGGTAGCTAATTGTGAGGGATGGTGGTGAGAATCACCGTTTAATCTATCTGTATGGGTCTTTTTTTTCTTTTGTACACAGTGTGGCTCAAGGTATCATCAGGATTCCGAATTACTAACACATCTAGAAAAGCTAAAAAATTGTTTTCCTCTAACTCCATTGTGAAGGTAAAGTAGAATCTAAAGAAGTAGAATTCTACCTTAAGATGGTCTAAAAACGCAGTTACTTTCTCTAAACTCTATAAATTCTAAAATTAAGTTCACAACGGAGTTAGAAGAAAGCAATTCTATAGCTTTTCTAGATGTTTTAGTAAAAGAATAGGCTAACCGTTTGGTTCGATTGCGTGGAATATCGACAACAAAACTGACCGCACTGTCATCTGATGATGGAAAGGGAAGGGTGGAATCGAAGCATGTAACTCCAACGCGCACATAGGCACAAACTTTTATGTTAAAATATAGACCTCAAGGATACTTTTTTATATACACCTAACTAGTTTGCAAAAAGTGTATTTTGGTTCATTTTTTTCAACCGATGGGAAAGAGTTGCAACTACGTATCGGTAAACAAAACGTAGGACGGCCCTTCACTAGATGGATGCGAGTACCTCAAGATCGTACTTTTTGTATTCCTTGCATTAAAATCTATGCATAAATTTTGTTTCACATGGCAACGCTTTATTGCACCGCCGCCATTGCAGGGCATCAAGCATTTTTAGCAAAATTCTGATGATTCAAATTCTAATGATAATGTTAGACAAATTAATTGCTGATGGATTGCAGAACAACGTACGTTACTCCTTCGATTCGGAAAAAATATATAAAGTAAATAAAATCATTTGAAATCTGGACGTCAATATAATAAGAAGAGTGACAGGAAAAAACCTTGGATCAAAACACACATTTGAGTAACATACATTTTCTACTCTTACTCGTTTGATTACGTAACATAAATTCCCCATCCCCCATATTTCATCCTGCAATGCCGCACTTTGTAGAAGTATCTTATACATTATAAATTTCGTCAAATCGTTTGTAAATACGTGCGTTTGGGGAAATAAAGCACACGTAATTTTGCTTTTATCAATATTTAGGTCAATCTAATTTCGTGGCTACGTACATACATTTTATAGCAATTTTGTATTTTTTGTGGACGTCAAAACAGAGTCGTACCGCCATCGCCATCTGTCGCATTCTTAGAAATGCCTATGTACAGTACATGTCTTAAAAACTAACGACGATGTTATGAAGTTGAAATGTGTAGGAAAACAGTTAATCTTGACGATATAATTACTAAAAACTCGCTACAGTAAACATAGAAGAGTCATTTTCATATTTATTATAGCTTAACTATTCGTCATAGAGATTTTGCTCCACAACCGTCACTGAATATTTTTTTATAGAATTAGGGTGACAAAGTAGCACACAGACTACCTGATGTTAAGAGGATGTTGTGACCTATAGACATTTGCATTTATCCTCGATTAAGAATCAAAATGCAGATGCATTGTCTCATCTCAGGACTAAGATGGAGTGCCTTATTTCCAGTAAAAAGTTATACGGTTCTCTATACTCACCATAGGAAACACAGCAGCGTTAGGCTGCTATTTTACGCTGGTATTCTGTGAGAGCGTGGTCGTTCCCCGGTCGAGCTGACCCAATGCTGCTACATACATAAAACAGTTGCAACATGGCTCTACCACGTACGTACCTAGGTACACGTATTATTTTAGCAGTTTCATCAGCACGTGCAACTTTGAATCGCTCTTTATAACGTATTGCTAACACATCGCTGACAAGTAAACGAGGTGATGAGATATAACTTTTACCCACAATAATTGAATTCTGCATGTAGCCAAATTTAACAAAATAGATCTATCAGAATATTTTACTACGTGAAGAGAGATTGAACTTTCGTCAACCCGTAAACCTTACAACTCGATCATGGACTGGCGGTAATTATTTATCATTACAATCAAACGGTTTGTTTTGTCTTTCGTTACACGTAAAGCTAAGGAGTGGAATAATTTGCCGGTATTTGTATTTCCGTCCGAATACAACTTGGGCGTCTTCAAAGGTAAGATTGAATAAGCTTTTGTTACGCTAAGGCAGTGTGATTTACCATCAAAGGCTTCATCACTACTTACCACGAGGTAATCGATTGTGGTCAAGTACTGGCTTATAATATAAAGTAGAATGGACAAATTTAGAGGAACACAAAAAAAAAGTTTAATTTCTGTTGTTTTAGTTATTGTTTGTACTGCCCACAAACACTAGTAAATGCTATTAAAATTGAAATGGCTTTTTAATTTCATTTGTTTTTATAAAGTAAAAAGTCAAGTTACAGCCTATAAATATACGTCTCACTCCTGGGCACAGGCCTCCCCTCATTTCTGAGAGGGTTTTAGGGCAAGGAAGTGTCCGGCGCGGTGCCCCTATGCGTGTTGGCGAACTTTACATGTCTTCGAAATATTTTTTCTTATTCCTCAGACATTCAGGTTTTCTCACGATGTTTTCCTTCACCACCAAGCACGTGACTCAGCACTTAAAATTGCAATTAATTGTAATTTTTTAAATGCTTTGTTTGAATTTTTGCTTTGACTGCCTTTTTAATTGTGTTAAGTATGACACGTTACTAAATAATAAACTGAGCAACCAGCCAGGGCACAGGGACCGCAGAGAATGACATTGGTAATGTTTGGGACAGATGTGCCCCAAACATTAGGAGTGTCATTCTCTGCGGTACACCGAGTTGCCTCGCAGGTCAGCGGCGTAAACGGAAAACTGTGGCCACAGATAAACCATCGTTAGCACCGTGCTTAGAAACCGGACCTTAACTACTGCGGTAAGAAGAAGCCAGTTATATATTTAATCAACAACAACAATCTTAATTATTTAGACCGAGACTTGGATAATAATTCGACTGAGAAAAATTATAGTGGCCAAACAGGTCGAATATCAAATAGTTGGCGAATATTCGTTGCAAGCCTAGTGATACGCGAGCGCACAGATAAACTAATGGTAAGCGGATACTGAGGCCAATAGAAATCAAAATACAGCCTTTTTAACTATTGAAAATTAAAATGAAATGCTTCGTTATCAGTAAAAAGGGTCCCCGAATCTCGGCCCTCATCATACTAAAGATATCAGCATTATGATGCTTTTTTGTTGCTATGGTGTTTTTATGCTAGTATTCTCGCTGGTATTCAATACGTGTGTTTGTCGTAGATATGATACGCTGCAGCGTGATACTATCATGTAAGGTTTCTATTTTAAGAGAGAAAAGCTTACAGCAAAAAGAGTCTCACGCTTTACTTAATGTAAGAGGCCATACCACAGTAAGAGTTAAACTGTGGCTATACTATCTAGTGGGACCGATATATCAACACTTAAAATAATATATGACAATCTTAAAAAGAGTCTGCCAAAATTTTAACGGAAAAAGTAACAAAAACAAATATTTAATAAACTTATATTAAAATTATAAAATAACGTACCTACATCTTTAAATAATTAGAGTAGAATTACTAAAACGGTAAATAACACGCTGTGAAATGTTTAAACTTAAATTTTAACTGAATTATAAAATGAGCAAAATTATTTGTTACAATGAGCAACTCTGACTGCAATTAGCTTCATCTGTGCAATGGCTTTGAAATAAGTTGCCATTTGCCAACAGCACTTTTATTTTATTTCACTTATATTATTATTACTTAGATATTGAGTAAGTAGTAAGTGTAAGCGTAAGAGAAAAAAAAACGAATTTATGAATTCCAATTTTTTTCTTCTCTGTTTCAATGCGCTCCGAAATTTCGAATTCGAAACCACTAGACGCAATTACTCAATTTAAAAAAATCTAAAACAGTTTATATTAGTTTTCTTCTATACAGTTTTACTTTACACAGTGTCGTACCAAATTTGTTACAGATCACCACTAAGATGATCATTCAACTAATAATATCTGAACAACCATTAATATGCCGTTTGTCATAAAGTAGAACACGAAATGCACGGCATGCACGCGGGAATTCCCGATTCTGGAATACCTGGCATATCATCTAACACTATACGAAATTCGGAATATCCTGATTTCGTATAGTGTTACTTTTTAGTTCTCCTTTACAATCATGCGCACACGCACCGTTGCCAGTAAAATAAGCTTAACAGTTTCGCTGCCAGCCAAATTGTGAGGGTCGAGTGTCAAATGCCGAACTGTTTTTTGTTTTTATTCAGCTTCTTGGACATCAGTTAAAAGGTTTAAAAAAATTAAATACATGTAATTGTTATTTTCGTAAAATAAAACAATAAAAAGCCATCCCGTACCTGCGCGGGCCCGGCACTGCGGTTGGAAAATCCATACGCAGTACCAAGCCCGCTCCAGTGCGTGGTTAAGTATTTAGTGTTATATTATTTATTTAGAACAAAATTAAGATAACATTTTTTGCTTGAATAATAATTTTAGCATGAAATCACATATAATATACCGATAACAAATTATCAACGTTTCAAATGGAAGAATGATATAATTCAAAACATTCGACATATAATCCAGGTTTTTCAATGCAAGTAGTGCAATGCTACGTTTTTTTTTTCTTTCGTGCACTGGCGGCATTGCTTACGTTTAATTTTTCCTTTTGCATTTCTTTCCGTAATATTACCGATTTTGTGCGGTATAGAAACTTGTCTTTTCACAGGTCCTGGATTTGTAGTGACATGTATATCTGGTAGCAACGCGCTTATCACTGACAAGCGGTAATCATATAATGTCATTTTAGATTGACCAGAATATTTATTATATATTTTGAAGGAATTTATCAGTAGCAGCTGAAATGTGTGAATAGCAACCTTTAGGTACCACCGCAAAGTTTTCCTTTCACACGGACAAAATGCTAATAACTGATCTTGTCGGTCCACTCCAGACATAAATTCATTATATTTAGCTATTGCTTCGGGTTTTTAGCGACTTGTCCACGTTTATTAGTTACTGGAACCATTTTATCTTTAAACTCTGTAGAAATGTAGGTAACAGGTCGTTTATCCTTCCATTTTCCTATATGAACCCCTTGACAGTATCTAGAAATATTTTCACCCTTCTTCAGATTCTTTAGAACGACCTCTCGAGGATTTTGTTTCAAATTAATGCGTAGTGATCCGGTGCAGTACGTATTACTATCGAGAAGTTTTTTCGGTAACCCAAAAATGTTATAAAAGTTGTTCATGTATAGTGCATGACCATTACAAAGCTTTTCATCCATGAGCTGCATCACTACTTCCTCGGCATGACCTTTTACAGAAACCTCGTGGTCAAGCCCGCCTTCGTACACATGGAATTTCAAAACCAAACCGTCAGGTTCAGTGAGCATATATAATTTGATCCCATATTTGTGGCGTTTATTTTTTTATAAATTGGCGAAACTTTAGCCGACCTCTCCATAATATCGTGCTCTCGTCTAAAGATAATTCCTTCGCGGGGTAATAACATTCGTTCATTTTTATATTGAAATAGTCCACTATACTGCGAACTTTTAGCACTGGGTCGCCATTATCTGCTTCGGATGTAAAATAAAAAAAATAAAAATAAAAAAAAATTTAAAAAAAAAAGATTGGATGTAGACATCTCATTAGCGTTTCTCTCATCATCATCTCGTTAGCATTCAGCGAAAATTGGTATGGAAAATAACCTACCTGTTTTCCAGTAATCCTGTAAACATCTAAGCTGAATAGTGCCCATATGAAATAATAAACCCAAAAAGACTTTCAACTCAGAAACAGTGAGTTCCTTCCATGCCAATATTCTAGATTTTTGTGATACTCCAGCTGATAATTTGACTGCTTGTTTATTAGTTTCATCACAAATCATTGTAAGAAAACTTTCACTAAAGAAGTAGTTGAAATAATCAATAGGTCTTATCCCAGGATTAGCGTAAAACTCGTTGAGTCGCGTGAAAGAATTTTTTTAATTTCGCCTACCTTAGTCCAGTCTGATGTAGAGCCTTTGACTGATAGTCTGATCGAAGACATATCTTCTAGGGATAGATTGAGTTGGTCTGCTGAAGTATCAGGCGTCGACTGCGGTGGGGCGGAATGTGGCCTTTTGATCGGTGAATTTGACTCTGTATTCATGGCAGATAGACGGGAAATTTTAAGCTTCTCATCGTTTCCATCATCTGAAGATTGATCCTCTTCCTCACTTCCAAAGTAAAACTCATCGCTCGATTCAAGATATGTTGTAGAAGTGAACGGCAGAGTCGGTAAGGGACGCCCTAGGCGAAAGTTTGTCAACCAAATTGGCAATCTATTGAAAAGGGGCCAAATTCGGTACTTACCCTTAACCGACGAGCATGTATGCGTAGGTATATAGATGTGGAAGATGCGAGAGAGTTGTGTCAGGATCGTGCCAAATGGAAGTCTATAGTCTTACCCCTTTGGGTGACAGGCGTGAGTGCTTATGAATATAAATGTGAATAAATGTGAATATATATATATTATTAGATAATTAATTAATAAAAGCTATTTCCTTTTCATTTTTTGGATATCCTATCTAGACAGACAGGTTTTTTAAATAAAAAATAAATATTTGATTACTTTTTATTTTAACTTTAAATTTAAAGGGCAAGTGTTTTTAAAGATTTTGTAGGTACACGCTAACCGACTGGCAAACAGTTTGTATAAATTAGGAGAAATAACATCTTTAAAAAACACACAACTGGGAAGAACCAGAATCCTGGTTCCGGATCTTTTTTGGAACCAGGTAAAATAAGGAACTGAATCCGGTTCTGCAGGCACTAACTGAAAGTCAAATTAACTTAAAGTACAGCTGATGCCAACTTCAAACCAATAAGGTTACAAGTACATTGTCACCTCTGAGGACTAAGATCGAACGCCCCACATATGGAGTCTAGAAGCAAGGATTACCAACTCCCATAGTAGAATAGTTGAAAAAGTGGCCATCTGTAAGCAGTAAATAACAGTTCAAAAACTCTCCACAAGAGCGCTGGAGTAGCTACTGGGATGAAATGAACTTAGCAGTTGTCGACGGTTTATGTGTGCTGCTAAACTGCTCAGTAGCTCTAAAATCAAAAATAATTTTATTTAGTAAATATAACCTCGAAAAGGTCGTCTATCACACTAATATTTTTCGGTGCGTTCTTTAAAATTTACCCCGTAGTTATAGTGGCGCCATCCTTATTTAACGGTTTCCTATGGACTTTTTAATACACAGTTTGTACTTCTTACTTCTACACTCCATAGCCCCACAGCCTGTAATTATTACTGGCTCTCTGTACCCTTCAAACTGGAACACTAACTTCAAACTAATGAAACCAAACAGACCTAGGCCGAAAATGTAATCTACGTTTATTTCGACATTTAAGTTCTGTCTATACATTTAATGCTCTTTTTATATTACTTGACGATTAATGAAATACTCCAATGCGCGCTCAAAAGCTTTAAGTTCACATTATCATTTTATGTGCCATTTGTGGTTTGCAATGCTACTCGAATTTTACAGAACAGAAACTTTAACTGAATAAGATTCGTCTTGATTTCGCATAATAAAAAAAATATTGCATTGCCGTAAGAAACCATACTGTACATGTACACAGGTCTGGTCCACGATATTTTATTTAAGAACAGAACGACCAACATAATAAAGTTATTGCTTTCTTAAATCATCATCATCATCATTACAGCCCTTCACAAGTCCACTGCTGAACATAGGCCTCCCCCAAGTAATGCCACAAAGTACGGTCCTGAGCCACCTGCATCCATCGACTTCCTGCATATCTTACCAGGTCGTCACTCCATCTAGTTGGGGGTCGACCTACACTACGCCTACCCGTACGAGGCTGCCACTCGAGAACCTTTCTTCCCCATCGGTTATCGGTTCTTCCAGCTATATGGCCGGCCCATTGCCACTTCAGCTTACTAATCCGTTGAGCTATGTCGGTCACTCTGGTTTTACTGCGGATATCCTCATTTCTGAGTCCATCACGCAAAGAAACTCCGAGCATAGCCCTCTCCATAGCTCGCTGAGCGACCTTGAGCGTCCGCATACGGCCAGCAGTGAAGGACCACGTCTCAGATCCGTAAGTCATCACTGGCAACACGGACTGGTTGTACAATCTAGTTTTTAGAGATTGAGGTATACCTGACGAGAAGATATGTCGTAATTTCCCGAACGCTTCCCAGCCGAGTTGAATCCGTCGATTGACCTCTCGGTCGAAGTTGGACTTACCTAATCGGACTATTTATCCCAGGTAAACGTACTCGTCAACAACTTCGAGCATAGTGCTCCCAACAACTACCGGCATAGGTGTGACATGGACATTAAACATGATCTTTGTTTTTTCCATGTTCATCTTAAGACCTATCCGTTGCCATTCACTATTGAGGTCATTGAGCACAGTGCTTAAGTCCTCCAGCGATTCTGCCATAAGGACTATACCGTCGGCAAATCGAAGGTGAGTGATGTACTCGCCATTGATGTTAATACCGTATCCTTTCCAGTCCTTTCTTAAATATTTCATGTAAATTTTGTCGTTATAAAATTTTAATGATGCTAATCACAAATTTCTGCAAAACGTTTTATCTATGATTTAACATTATTACTTGCTTCACTTCTTACAAAATTTAGATTACAAATCTTAACTTATTTTAAGCTGACTTTAAAAAGGAGGAGTATCCCAATTCGACTTTTACTATTATAACTAACTTAGTGCTTTCTTTAATTATGTGAATCTGACGCGATATTTTCCTTAAATTTATTTTAATAATTCTTTTTTTTTATATAAACGATTATATTTTATTTAAGTCCATATAAATTAGAAGAAAAGTCCCAACCCTCCCGCAAGAAAAACTAGTGAACGATGTTTTGACGACATTCCAGCTGTTACCTCGAGATTGTAATATTCACTCAAATGGTTAAAAACAATTAAACTTCTAATGGAAGTTAAAACCCAACTTCTAAGACTTAAAAATAATCAAATATCAATTTCCACACGGCAGTTTATGAAGACGTTACCTTACTTCTTCTATACACTTAGCAGTGTTCTTTTGTTGAATGGCATTAACTTTCTTATATTATACTAAAACACTGGACCGGGTACATAATGTTTGTTCCGATTTAAAACTCCGCCATTGAGTGAACCGGGAATTAAACATGACATAATTTGCTAATGGCCGTTGTTTTGTTTAAAATGTCTAAGAGTATTTTAAAGTTTTAAACGAGGAAAACGTGTGTGTGGATAACGTTCTGTTATTTTGCATATTAGTAACAAAATAAAAAACATTTTTAGTAACAATGATCACGCACTCTGAGTTGTAAAATTCGTTAAATGAAGGGAAGTGTTGTACCATTTCCCAATTAAAGGGATTAACAGTTTAAATAAAATAAATAAAACTATTTGATGGTACAGGGTCTTAAAAATCTCTCACTTATCTTATTAAATGTAATTACTAGCTTTTTTGGATATGTAACTACATGCTTGGATTTACATTATCTATTTTTGATTAAAAAAATCTATAGGGTGGACGAGTTTCTTATCGATAATACTTATAGATGTTTCTCTACTATATCTGTTTACAAAAATAGAAATTACTAACGACAGATAATTATCAAATTTTTATCAATGTACAGGTTTTCAACTGACTCTAGAGTAAAACTGTGACTAAAAGCATAAAACTTCTGAAGCAAATTGATTATGATGATTGACAATCTTTAATGTAATTTAAAGTTTGTAAAATTCTAATTGTGTAATTTTAATCGTCCTTGATTAATTGCTGTCCATAGAAATTCTTGTTCCGTGTTGAAATCGGGTATACGGCTGACAGCGCCGTAGAAAAACTCCTAGCTACTAAACGGAGATTTATAATTTGTAATTCAAGCGTTATAATCGTTTTCCATTAACATTTTAAGCGAGATTTCTGCTTAATATTCGAAACAACTTGCTGACTACCAAGTTAAATTCACTGCTTTCAGCGGCAAACCAAAATATATTTTTATTGAGCGTGCCCATTTCGTGGAAGGAATTTTTATGAAGTGAACTAAATTTTCTTACCTGGGACATTTTACATCTTTTTAGGTTTCCATTAACGTTTTGTTAAATGATTTCCTTTAACAAATTCATACTAAAAAGTAACATTAGCCTATAAATATAACAATTTTTGCGTAGTCCTCAATGATGACAACGCATCTGTGACCTTAAAATTATGTTTGAAGTCGGATGACTTCAAACATAATAGCCCTTTAGTTAATTAGCCTCCGACCATCTGGAAGCTCACCACTGAAAGCTCGTTTCTTTTATAGAATAAGGGTAACAAACTGGCATACAGCCCACCTGATGGTAAATGGATGCTGTGGCACAAAGACATCTACATTTATCCTCTATTATTCTATTACGGTGCCAATCAGTTTACGCAATGATAAATATTATAATTTAATATGCCATAAAATAAAAGGAAACCACAAAATGAAATTATTGTGTAAAAGCAAAAAAATTATAATAAATCTCTGATAAATTTTCTTCAATTATCCAAACCAACAAAATAGAAACATAATATTCGGGACTTCTACAAAAGTTTTAACGTATTTTTGGAGATATTTACATTACGTACGTACGTATTTACGTGCGTGTGCATTTAGGTTATCTAAAAGAATTGCTTAGAAAAAATGTGCAATTAAGTAAAGTACAACAATGATTTCTTTTATTTGTGTTTCAAATGATACTATTTCACTTTTCTTATCCAAACTACTCCTACTAATACATACCTCACGCAACTAAAACCCCCAAGTGAAAAAAAAAATGACTGTACATATATTATAAGGATGCAAATTTGAATCCTCTACGTGAAATAGTCTCT